GAGCTCAAAATCTTCTCGAAGTGAATGTTGAAAACTAAAAACAAATAAATAACATTTAAAAAGTTGTAACATCCTTGGGCATATTGACAATAACAGAATTATTAAGTCAACATTGTATGATTAGTGTATGCTGAATTTCTCTACAAAAAGATTCCTTTAATTCATAATTCTTCCAACAAAGTCTAAACTCAACTTTCTCCATAACCCTACCAGAATGTAATTTTTGCACTCTAATATTTGCTAATCTGGGGCTTTCTCTACCACTTTCACTTCTTAGAATCCTTAGCTTCCTTTTCCAGATTCAACACAATGCCACCTGCGGCAGGACTTTCTGATCCTAACCTCCCACGCCACAACCCAGCTGCTCATCTAAGATTTCCTACCACCTGTATCTTGCACATCTAAGAGTGGAGACAAACTCATGCTGACCTAAGCAGCCCTTCCATTTACCTAGAGAACACATTTTAATGGAGTGATCAAATCAGAAGTGTGAACAAAGCCTACCTACCTCTATTTAACCAATCAATAAAAGACTTCAAGTGTGAATAGTCCTTGGATGAACTGGGCTGACACTAACCGGAAGAGTTTAGATTGGCTGAGGAAACTTAGTGATGACTTGAAAGTTTCCTAAACAATGTTAAGCCAGTTGAGGCCTGAGAGATTTGAAGAGGCACAGAGGATAACATTTCAACTAAACCCCTGGAAAGGAATGGATGGGGGGCGGGGACAGAGCTCCTCAATCTGTTTCCTTGACTTCTCCCTTTGCCTTTTGAGGGGGAACTTGTGAACCTCAGAGGTCCAGAAGGCATCCCATCTCCACATAGCTTTCCATAAATGCCTTAGCTGGTGGCAGGGTCTCCATCTGAAACCCAGCAAATACTGGACAGAGATTCAAGGCTCTAGAGAAGCCACACAACACTCAAGATGAACATTGTGAGGACTCCAGCAAAACTGGGAATTCCAGGCTTCCAGCATCTATGAATTATGAGTTTGCCACTTAGCATTTGATCGCAATTGCTCCTGGACTCTGTATATACTGGCAGGAAAGTGTGTTGGAGAATTCTTTGGGGAGAAGGTTGTTTTGTATCAACAATACTACTTAAGTAACTACCTACCCTTTTCTAAAACCTAATTAAGTCTCACTAACTATTTGATAATCAACATATAGTCATAGTGGGAAGCACATCTGATGGACATGAGCTATGGTGCTAGACAAACTATTGTCTGAACTCCCAGGGCAACCACTAGAGTATGAGGGGATAAGACTTGGGTACTAGACATGACAGCACAAATAGGGGTTGGCAGAGTCTCGTTGTAATATACATTATATATACACCTAATTATTCAAATGGAATGTAAGCTCCTTGAGGGCTGGGACTGTTTTTTTTTTCTTTGTGTCTTCAGCACTTAGCACAGTGACATATGCACAATAGCCAGTCAGTCAATAAATATTTATTAAGTACTTAGTATGTGCCAGGCACTGTGTTAGGCTCTGAGCATACAGAAAAAAAGGCAAAAGATGGTCCGTGATCTGGAGGAGCTCACAATCTAACGGGGAGGACAACTAGGAACAACTAGATTAAACAAGCTATATACAGGATAAATGGGAAGTAATGAATAGAGAGAAGATACTAGAATCAAGAGGGTTAGGGAAAGCTTCTTATGAAAGCTGGGATCTTCATTGGGACTTAAAGGAAGCCAGGAAAACCAGTAGATGGAACAGAGGAGGGTGAGCATTTCAGGCATGGGGGATGGCCAGAGAGAATGCCTGGACCCAAGAGGTGGAGTGCCCTGTTCTCAGAACCGCCAGGAGTCCAGGGTCACTGGATCAAAGAATACATGTGTAGGAGTAATATAAAAGAAGGTGGGAAAAGTAGGAGGGGCTAGCTTATGTAGGGCTTTGAATGCCAAACAATATTTTGTATTTGCTCCTGGAGGCCATAGGGAGCCATTGGAGTTTGCTCTTACATCCCTCCTTCTTTCTCTAAGAGGACAAATTATATCACAGGGTGATGTCTTGACTTGCACACGAATTGGACTTAAGTGAGGCAAAGTTGGGCTAAGTCCTCAGCCTCACTCTTGGAGTCATTGAAGTCCAGTGGCAGGACAAAAGTCAAGACAACTGGTGATGGCCCAGGATGCAGTGGATGACCTCCATGTCTCTGCTTCATCTGTCTTCATGGCCATTAGAACAAATTGTTCTCATCTACCCATTCTGCTGGGGGAAGTCTTCATATGCTTACCCCCCCAACTCACCAATGGGTGTGAAGCCCGTCAGTTACCCTCGATATGATTTAGCCTGTCACCCGAGACAGTTTAAGGGTGTGGCTGCTGCACATGCTATCCAGTTTCTTGGAGCCACAGGTGAGAGTTAGGTGAAAGGTAGACACCAAAGATGGATGAGCAGCCCTCTTAGCAGAGGCGCTAGTCCTCTCTGAACACCCCATACACCCATTGGAGTTTAATGAGTAGAGGAGTAACATGATCAGACCTGTGCTTTAGGAAAATCTGAATGAAGAACGGATTGCAGCAGGGAGAGCTGAGGCAGGTAGAGCCCACACCAGCTGTTGCAATAGTCCAGGCATGAGGTGAGCACCTGGACCAAGATGGTGGCAGTGTCAGAGGAGAGAAAGAGGCATATTTGAGAGCTGTTGCAGAGGTGAGATCGACAATCCTTGGCAGCAGCTTGGACATGGGGGAGAGAGAAAGTGAGGAATTCAAGACAACTCCTAGGTTTCTTGCCTCAGGGACCAGGAGAATAGCATTGCCCTCAACAATAATAGGGAAGATAAGAGTGGGTAGTGGATGTGTAACCTGGAATTGTTTTGTTTTACATTTCTTCTTTTGGGGAGAATGAAGCATTTGAGAATTTTCCCAAGTGTTTTTTGCATTATATGTATCCTCTTTGGTAAGTTGTCCATTCATAATCTTGAACTATTTAAATATTAGGGATTTGTTGTCATCCATGGAACTTTGTATCAAAATATATTACTTATGATGCTTTTCAAAATGACTGTTTTTCAGATTCTGTGCCCCAAATACAGAAAGCATGATCACTGAAAGATACATCATCTCCCTACCACTCATAGTCCCCATCCCAAAGACTGAGCCAAACTGGTTAAGGCAGCTTAACTACAAAATGAGTGAGTAGATAGCATCTGGGTTCCCTTCCTGCTCCAGGGCAGTGACTGTAAGGGTTTTCCCAAGTGACTGGATCCTCTGTGGACAGCCTCACTCTCCTCTCCCATCCTTCACCTCTGTCCTAAGTGGAATTCTTTCCAGGTGCTGAGAGACACAATTAAACCAACCATTCATCAAATCAAGCTATTAAAATATAATTACTCTCTGGAAGGATAATCCTTCACTTGTTACCTGCTGATAACTTAACTGGGATTAATTAATAGTCCTCTGAAAGCAAAGGCCTAAAAGGATGGGGCCAATGGCAGGATGCTTGGGGTGTATTTGTAGAGCGAAGAAGGCAGTAAAAGACCTGGGGTTGGGGGAGGAAGGAAAGATTGCTGCAGAGAGAAGGGAGAAACTAAAGGAGAACTTGGCCTCCTTCTTCCTTTGTTCAGTCAGGCCTGGCTCCTGGGTGGAGGATGGGGGGTTTTGGTAATCCTCCCTGGCCCCATCATCCTTCTGCCTAAGAACACAGAGACAATCATTCACTGGGGGAAGGAGGGAGGGAGGGACAGCTAAGCTCATTATGTGGGAACAGAAAAGACAAGTTTGTTCTTTCTCCTCTAATGATCTGGGAACCTTGGGCTCAGACGTGAGAAAGAATGAAAAATATCAAATCCCGTTAAGCAGTCATCTCAGAGGGGCCTCAACAATACTGCCATAGCAGCCCCAAATGCAACGGGGGATTTGGAAACTTCTCCTTTTAGGCTTTCTCTCTGTGTCTCTGTTCCTCTCTCCCCCCTCCAATCTCTCTCTCTCTCTCTCTCTCTCTCTCTCTCTCTCTCTCTCTCTCTCTCTCTCTCTCTCTCTCTCATCTCTCTCTCTCTGTGTCTCCATCTGTCTCTTCCTCCTTCCCCCATTTCCTTCCTTTTTTTTGTCTCTGTTCACACTAGGTGCCTGGTGCCTGTACTAGAATCGCCCACCAGAAAGAAAAATCCAGCTTTCTACCAGATCCCAATTTAGTCCTTTCAGCCAACAGTCTATTCAAGCTCTGGGCAATCTATGTTCACAAAAGTCAGATTTTCCCACCAGGTAAATGAAGCATTTTAATATGAGAAAGGTTTTTTTCTCTTTCTCCACTTACTGGTCAAGAGACAATTTTTTTTTGCTGAAAACCATTTTGCAAATTTAACGAACTACATGTTACTGACCTCTATAAATATATGTATATATATGTATGTATGTGTGTATGTATGTATGTGTGTATGTATATATGTATGTGTGTATGTATGTATGTGTGTGTATGTATGTATGTGTGTTTGTGTGTGTGTATATGTGTGTGTGTATGGTGTGTGTGTTTATGTGTATGTGTGTTTGTGTGTATATGTGTGTGTGTGTGTGTGTGTGTGTGTATGGTGTGTGTGTGTGTGTGGGGTGTGTGTGTGTGTGTGTGTTATTTTCTAGAGAAATAACCCAGAAGGCCTTTTTTGCATCAGGTTTTAATCCAAATGGAATGCATTGCAGACACTGAATGATCAGGCTTGTGCTTTCCCACGTCTCTCTGGGAAGGCCTCTCTTTTTTCAGTCTGGCTAGGGCTCCCTCATACCAGAAGACAAATGGCTGGTCCTGTCAGTAACCGACCATCATTGTGTCGGGGTCTATGTTACTGAAAAGGAAATTGGAAATTATTCAATCGGATCAGTCTTCTTGGAGCAGACTAAGGAAACCTAATTCTGTTCCCTTGGGTACAGATGACTATTGAGTTAGTCCTATCCATTGAAGGTAGGCACAGAGATGACATCATAGTAGTCAAGTAAGCGTAATAATAATGGTAACAATAACAATGGAACTTACATGGCATGTAGAGGTTTGGGAAGTATCTTACATATGCAATCCCATTTAACACAAAATAACAGGCTTCAAACTATTCTGCTTCAAACTATTTCCCGCCACTTGATTGCCAAGAGACCTGGAATTCCCAGCACCAAGGACATTGCTTCCCAAAGGCCTCTGTTCAAGTGTTCTCCTCTCTATGAGAGTCACCTATGAACAACCTTTCTCTTAAGAGCCCAGTGATTGACAGAGATCATGTGACCATAGCCAGGTACTTTTGCTGGGAGGGGTATGTTTTGTTGGGAGGGGCTCCATAAGCAGGGAGAGCACCAAGCAGCTAGCAGGCAGCAAAAGGTCACTGGGCCTCCTGAGGTCTTATCAGAAGGCTAGGAATCATAGCACCTGGTATAGGGTGGAGAGAGGATACATTGAAGGAAGGTTTAAGAGAATTCTTCCAGAGATGCAGGCCCAGGAGTCAGAGAGAGCAGATAAAATCATGTGAATTCAGGGAAGGATTTGTCTGGGTCACTGGAAGGCCTTCAGAGCCCTTCTCCATCACACCAGCTTTCATCTGCAAAGCACCACACCTAGGCACTGGAGATCAGGTGCAGTCATGCTGAAGGAGTCATACCTGTCCTTCTCAGAGTCTGACATATATCCCAATGTGCAGTCAGTGTCTCCAGACCCCATTCCTAGGGAAGAGAGAGAATCAGGGAATGGGTTCAGTCATCTCTATCAATCCTGTTTTCTTTGACAAAATGTAGGAAATACAGAAGAGACACTGGACCTTGGGGGAAGGGCACGCCACCATCAAATGTGGTGGCCTGCTGCCTGTGTGAGGACATGGGTGCAGTCACGCTATAGATTTTTGACACACGATCTGTGGAAGACCCAAAGACACTAGGGCAGTTGGCCAGAAACCTAGTGGAAAAGGAAGCCTGCCTCTCTAAAACCTTAGTTATCCTACCTAGTTAGATGTCTAAGAATAGGGAAATCCTGAATCATTGAGAAAAAAAACATATTTTTATTGAAATTTACATAAGGGTTAGCACTGAGTATGAACTTTGAAAAACCTTTATTACTTTTCATCATAAGTTAAATTCAATGGCATTTCCTTCCTCTCCCTCCTTTGCAGACTGTTAAGCATCTAGCGCCTGCTAGTGAGTTGTCTACGACATACCCTCATACAGTATTCACTTTCCTAGATCCAATGCCTGGCTAATGACTAGCTATTACAGAGAAAAATAAAACCTTATTTTTAGTCTGTTCATTAAAATTTGCAATTTTTCATGCTATACTTCAAAATATCACATCATTTTTTAAAGTGATGAGAGGGGAAGGAGGTGCTTTTCATAGCTATGATTAGTGAGAATCATTAGCAAAATAATGGAGAGGGACGATCATCTTAAAAATGAACAATTTGGACTACATACAGGGCTCCCCAAAGCTAGTAAAAGCTATTAGAACGCAAAACTGAGCTAAGGTTTTTGGGACACTGTATAATGAAAATGCTTTGAATAAACAAAATCATTACAGCTAAAATACAAAGAGAAATCATCACTTAAGGAAATCTTCGAGTCTGTATTTCTCACCAGAATCTTCTACGCAAAGTATATAATGAGCACAAATATGCTGAAGACCGTCAATACCTGGGAACCCGCCAGCTCTTGAGTCAGCCTATCTCACTTTTGGAGAGCTCTAATTGTTAAGAGCATTTCTTTTCACACCAGCAAACCTAAAATTTCCTCTCTGCAACTGCCACCCATTGTTTCCAGTTCTTCCCTCGGGAGCCAAATATAAATCTAATCCCTCTGCAGCACAATGAATGGTTCCATACTTGAGCACAGCTATCATGCTTGTCCCCTTTGACTCTTCTCTGGACCAAACATGCCCAATCCCTTCAACTCATCCTCACATAACATGCACTCTATTCCTTCGACATGCTCTCTCCAGCCTATCAACAGTGGTTCTCCAGAGCTGGAGCTATAAGAGCAAAGTACATTCACTTCTCTTTCCCTGAAAGGGAATCTCACTCCCCTCTTCCTGCAAGCTGTGCCCCTCTTATTGGAGCCAAAAATCAAAGAGTGGAAATAGTTCAAATGACCATGATTCCTGGCAGCAGAGAAGGGAGCCAGCTATTAATTCAATAGAGAATTATCCCTGGCAGCTGAGACCTGAGTTTTGGTAAGAGACAGGCACAGGGAATAGCTAAGTGACATGTTCTGTAGAAACACTGCTTCCATTGAGGGAACCATGAGAAGAAAACACTGAAACCCTAAGTTGGTCACATGCATTGTCTGCATATGTGTCCTAGTACGAGTGTATTTGACGTGTCCCCATTCTTCTCACTGATGATGTATATGTGTGTGTGTGTATTTGTGCCTATGTATACCTATGCATTTTGCATATGAGGAAATGGAGGTTCAGAAAAAGTAAATGATTTGCCCAGGGTCGCAAGCTGGTTAATGTCTAAGTCAAGGTTGGATTCCAGTACTCCCTTAGTCTGAGTCATTTTTGTTTGCAGATGATGCTGCACTTAAGGCAACCGCTAAGGCTGAGGTGCAACAAAGTATGTATGGATTGACTCTTCGCTGCTTCTGATGCTTTTGGCCTAACAATCAGCACCAACAAAAGGAGGTGCCCCATCAGCCAGACCCACGCCATCCATACACAGAGCCATTGGTTACAGCAAAAGGAAAAGTTTTGAGCGCCGTGGGTATGTTCACTTACCTTGGCAGTGTATTTTCCAGGGATGTGCGTGTGCATAGATAATGAAGATGATGCCTGTATTACCAGAGCTAGTTTAGTGTTTGTGAGGCCCCAAATGAAAGTGGGGAGAGAAGAGGTATTAGACTGCCTACCAATCTTAAGGTCTGTTGTATGCCTATGAAACCTGGAAAATATCCCAGTGCAATGCCAGGAAACAGAATTGTTTTCATTTAAATTGTCTTAGGAAGATTCTGAAGATCACCTGGCAAGACAAGGTACTAGATACTGAGGTCCTTTCCTGAGTTAAACTTCCGAGCATTCAAACTGTACTGCAGAGAGCACAACTTCCATTGGTTGGCCATGTTGTTTGAATGCCAAACATGTTTGCCTGGAAGATTATTTTATGGAGAACTCACACAAGGCAAGTGCTTACATGGAGGTAAGAAGGATTGATACAAGGACACTCTCAAGATCTTTCTGAAGAAGTTTGAAATTGATTGCATGTCATGTGAGACACGGGCAAAGAACTGCCCAGAAAAAAAAAATGTAAGAAAAAGAACTGCCCAGCATGGTGTTCCTCATCAAAGAAAACACTAGCATAAGACCAATTAACATGCCATGCCTGCATCAAAGAAGGTGCAGTGCTCTGTGAGCAAAACAGAATTGCAGGAGCTCAAAATAAATATGAGATGTGCAAATTTAGAGACATGTCCACTCTGAATATTTGTATAGACTATTTGCGTCCAGCCTCAAACACAGTGATGTCATTTTGGTCCTCTTCAAGAACCATCTCTGAGTGTAGCATTCTGTCTACCATGTCACACTGCTTCCAAGAGAAAATGACTAAGTTCCTACTTCCCTTTCAGTCTATGGACAGTCTTAGTGGAGTAAATTTTCATCTATTTGGGGGCCATCTGGCAGCAGGGCAGGGGGTAGGAGGTGCTACATGAGATAGCTAATAGCAGTCCAGATTTGAACCCAGATCTTTGGACTCCAAATCCAGTCCTCTTTCTCCACTGAGCTCCCAAGCCAAGTTTCTTCCGTTGTCTATTCTTTATTCCCAATTGGACAATAATAACAGTTCACATCTGCTTTCTGCTTTAAGTTTTTCAAAGAGAAGCAAGGCACTCTCTTGGGTTTGCTGAGGACCTACATTGCCTTCAGGTCGTATGAGAACCTAAACTCCTGAAAAGCATTAGTACAAGCTCACAGATAGTGTGGACATGGCAATTCATAGTGAGGAACATCCTTTACAATGACCTCTTTGAAGGAGCATCATAGACAGTGTGCAGGCCTTGGAGGCAAAAGACCTCGGTTCAAATCCTATATTAAACACTTACAATGTAGCTGTGAACAAATCATTTAAACTCTCTGCCACTGAACCTTATTATCTGGACACTAGGGAGAACAAAGCTTGTGCTGCTTGGGCACTGTGTCTCTGTACACCTAGTATCCATCAAGGCTCATCCTTGGTGTCCCATCCTACACAAAGCCCCTCCCAAGCTGCACCTGCCTTTTCTCAAAATTACCTTATACGTCTCTTGCATATATTTTCTTTATGCTTATTATATGTTGTCTCCTTCGGCTAGTCTATAAGTTCCTTGAGGTCAAGCATTGTTTTCCCTTTTGTCTTTGTATCCCCAATGCTGGGCCATTGCTAGTCATCTTAACTCGTGTCTTGCCACTGGACTCTGATGACTGGAGGAGACAGTGAGGCTAATAACTTTGTGCAGATCTGCCTCACTTAAATTCAATTTGCTTGTAAGTCAAGACATCACTCTTATTATGTCATTGGTCTTCTTTGAGATGGATGGATTAACACCAACAATAACAATCTGCATCTCCAATGCCTAGCACAGTGCCTGGCACACAGTAGGTGCTTGCTGACTAATTGATGAAATGAAGATCTGAAGAATGAATCCATGGTCTCATAACTAGTGTCTAAATCAAGTTTAGAATCTAGTCCTGACTTCAGTTCCAAATATCTTTCCACTATCCCTAGGTGGCTGACCAGTAGCCTATATCTGTTGTCTTTCCCTATAAGAGCATAATGTCCTTGAGGACAGATCTGTATGATATCACATTTATATTCTTAGCACTTAGTAAGCACATAATAAAGGATTTTTCATTCAGTCATTTAGTCATTCCAGGGCTTAATCCAATGTCATTGAAATCAATCACATTTTCAAGGGCCTGAAAGTCAAGGATCACTTTAATGACAATGGTGGGTATATGATGGGGCTGAGGTTGCCTCATGTTACCAGTGAGGAATCTCCCCAGAGAAATGCAATAAAGGAGTCTGTCAAAGAGATTTCTGAGCAGAAAAGGAGGCAAGACTATCCCTATAGCAAAGGTGGGAAGGTAAGTAATGGACAGGCTCTGTATCGTACTGTTAATTCGATTCAACAAACATTTAATAACTGCTATGTTCTAGACTCCATTTTAGGTGCTGGGAGTACAAAGACAAAACAAACATTGTGGCTGCCTCCAGGAAGCTTTCACTCTACTGCTATTTGGCCATACTAAAACATTCAAAGAAAGGTCCCCAGCACATTCTAGAGA